TTGTAGAACTTTTTCTAAGTGTTCAATACGCAATGACACCTAACGTTTAGCTCAATTACTGTTTCTGATGCTGTAGTTGCACCTGGTTGTGCAGTAAACTGTGCAAGGGAGTCGGACTTCTCACTGCCCAAAACTGCGTCGACAGGTAGCGCTGCGTGTTTACAAAGCTGCAGAGTCTGAAGTCTATACATGGACTATCTAGGCGTGCAGCGGCTGCTTGAATTCGAACCTGCAAACCCTCAATCCGAAGGTGAGAGTCCTAACCACTTGGCTATGCAAGCACGTTATTAGAGCATGGCGTATATAGTATATAAAGAGTGAAAAATAAAAAAAACAGAAAAAAACGCCGCGGGAGAAAAAAAAAGCAAGGATGAGAAAACAAGCCATAAATAGAGAGAGAAATGGATTATAGATGAGGATTGAAACAACAAGAAAAAGACAGAAATGGAGGGAAAGAGATGTAAATAAACAAATAAACAAAGCACGTTATCAGAGCATAGCGTAGCATTGTATAGCATTGTGTAACAAGGGTATGGGCATGGAAGTGAGGAGGAGGGAAAGGACGACATGAGAGAGAAAAGCGTAGTACAAAAAGAATGAAAAATAAAGAAATAGAGAGAAAGAAATGCCGAGGGAGAGAAAGAAAAGCAAGGATGAGGAAACAAGCGATAAATAGAGACAGGAATGGCTGAAAGAGGTAGATTGAAAGAGGAAAAAAAAGACAGAAATGGAGCGAAGAGATGTAAATAAACAAATAAACAGAGAAAAAAGACAGGAAAACAAAGAATAGAGAAGAATAAATAAACAGAGGAAGAAAGAAACATAAAATTTGCAGAATTTAGGAAAACAGTAAAAAGCCAGACGGGGGCCCCTCAGCTACGCTGTCCCTTTAGCATTGCATCTCCAGTGCAAGGTACCCTAATTTTTTTCTGCTTAATTTTGACTGAAGCGCCGGGAATGTACTTCTATGAAATCTACGATGGGGTGTAATTTCGTCAAATGAGGTCATTCTATCTCCTCCCTCCCTCTCGCCAGTAGTCGGTGAGGCGGGGCTAAACGACGCTCGTCGAGTCAGGCCTCGAGCCATGCGGTGAACTCTCTCACTGCTACCGTGTGCTAGGGTGTGAGTGGGTGTCCAGATGAGCGTGGGCACTTTATTCTAGGTTATTACTTGAATTTGTGATTTGTAGTGTCTTTAGGGAAATTCGACTGTTGCCAAGTTTCGTATTGCCGTCTACGAATGATTACCACGTCCACTTGCGTTCGTAGTATGGACAACTGCGATATCTATTTACTCTGCGATTTATACGTGTGGCATACAGATGATAGCACTCGGCACACACCTTGTTTAGTAATTTTTCCCCACGGCTACGTAGGTGCACTGGTGTCTGTATCTACCTCGTCAGAGAATTTTCATACAGTGGATTACTGAGACCACGACCCGCTTAAAACATACCTCCGATACGGGAAGGATAATTGCATACGTTAGTGACTTCATTTGATATAAACATTAATTTGGGCCATTTTCTCACGCCTAGCTATGTAAACACATAGGTTTCCCCGAAGGAAATGTACTTTTATTCAGTGATAAAGACGTATTCAATGTTAGATCTTCGTTCAATGTCAGCTTTCATCATGTCCCTGTTTGTGCTTCGTACATAACGCAAGAACAGTTAACGGTTACCAACTAGCCTAATCAATGGCTCTTTCAAACAATCCCGGTTTGCAATAAGACGACAGGCAGCAGCACTACATTAGTTTCCAGAGGCGCCACCTAAGACAGTGGATAACAGGCGTGTTAAACAGTCAAGCACTCAACCTAAAGTAATTATGCTCAAATCAATTCGTTCTCCACAGAACTGCACGTCTTTGAGGGAAACTTGATTGTCCGGCTTGATTAGTTGACGACACTGTTGCAAGGGCTGACAAATTCATGCACGCGAACCTGCTGCAGAGGCACCGCACACTACACTAGTTCGCTCAAATCCAACTTCTGCTCCAGTTAAGCGTAAGTTGTATCCCGTAAAGGCATCAATCGCGCTAAAGAAGCAGCAGTGGGAGTATCTGAAGATATCGTACACAAAATCCAACACTCGTGGAACAGCGCAACCAATGTGCTTTTGTGTGCCTGAGCACATCAAACTGCCTGCAGAGGATACTGCGTGCCTGGAAGCACGCAGTATCCTCTGCAGTGGCAGACAGCAAAGTTAGCACGCTATGAATGGTTCCTGCGAAAATTTCTGGTTAGGATCCAAGATAGAGAAAAACAAACTTACGTTTCATTTGGTACTGGTTATAAGCTAAAGGTAACAGGTTAGTTCATTTCTGATTCCGTTTTAGAACCAGGTTTTCATTATACTTGCTGAGGGGGCCATTACTGACGGATAAGTCGGATAAGTCTATCCTAAACGTTCCCGCCTCTAGAGTAGTTGTGCGTAACGTCGAATGTTGAAGTTTCGCCAGATGAGCATGCAATGGTAACATCAAATAGACTGCAGGAGTTAACGTCCCGAATCGGCAGAGTGAGTCTTCAGGGACACTGTAGTGAATGTACAATGGCCAAGGGTTCCCCGTTAGTTCCCCCCCCCCCCCCCATGCCATTCCTTAACGCGCGCATGAACTGAAGTTCTCCGTGAGCGTTTGTGTATCTCGTACCCCTATAGAACACCTCGATCTGCAATCGAATCCACGGCCTCGCGCTCAGCAGCCTAACTCTACTGACCACTGAGCCACGACGTACCGGTGAGTAAGAGATCCAAATTAGAGCAGCACATGAGTGTGATTTTCCTTTTTATGAAGCCCGAGCCTAGCGTTGCCTGACAGCAAGAATGGTCCCGGGCGTACTTGATGGAGCCCAGCCAAGGCCTGGCCCTACCCAAGCCGGTGGTACCAAGCCCGCGCCTCCTGTTATTGCACAACAGCATCTACATGTCCCTGCGCAAAAACAGGAGGTTGTCCAGGCTCCCTGGCTTCAAACAGGTCCTTCTGAAGTACTTGCCCAGATACGCTGAAATTGTGCTCGTAGTATACCGGTTCTCGTGGATGGGGTCGCAAAAAACAAGAAAATGGTCCGATCAGCTGTTTTTCGAATAATTAATTTTTCCTTGCGAAGCAATAATATCATATCTTTTTTTTTTGGGGGGGGGGGGGGGAGGACCAGTGATTTTTACGAATCAATGCAGTTATACCCACGTCTAGGAGCGCGTCACACATATCGCTCGCGTGTGTCTAAAGGCACGTCTATGCCCTCTCGAAAGCGGGTGCAAGTCTGGTCTGAGCAGTGGCGTAACTAGGGGGGGGCAAGGGGGTACAAGTGCCCCGGGCGCCACTAGGGAGGGGGCGCCAAGCCGAGTCCTCGGGTTGGCGCCCCCTGGAAAGGTTGTCAATGTTTTTTTCCGTAAAACCGCCTGGAAGGGGGGAGGGGCGAGGTTGTAATGTACGACTGGAAGTGGGGATGGTGGTGAAGGAAAGGGTTGCCGCAATGGCTTTTGCATCGGGAAAAGGATCCTCTATTTTCATTTTGCTGCGCTACCTCCGTGCCTTCCCATGACCCTCGGCTAAGCTTTGTTTTGTGCTCCGCAGCACTGGGTTAGATGAGTTTCAGCGAACCCCACCAGCCTCCCAAACCACTTACTGAAAGCTTCCCTGAAACCAACCACGTACGTAAACAAAATAAAATAAAAAAGTTCGAATGCACCTTTTTTGAGTAAGAACAGAAAACTCCAACGAAATAGCCGATCGTCCAACGACTAATCGTCCACGCAGCGGCGGAAGGAAGGGCGAATATAATCCGTGACCTCGGCACCAAAGGCTAAACAAAGGCGTTTATTCGCAGAGTTCTCTGGAGGAAAGACGGAGAAAGCGTGACACGACGGCGACGTTTGTTGATTCCCTGCATCGCGGGCGCCAGCAAAGCAATAGAAGGGCGGGGGTCAACGTTTCCCACATGCCATCCACCGCCATGGGCAGGTTCATCCTTTGGCCCAAAGAACACGCACCTGCGAAAAAAGCGCAGAGCGTAGTGTACCCGACAGCATGTGCCGACTGCCCCGCTTCGTACGTTGGAGAAACCAAGAACTTCCCTGAAAGAATGCGGCCGCACAAGGATGACCTCCATCAATGGAACAGCGAACGGAGCGAAACGGCAGAACACTCCGACCAGTTTAACCCCCATACCAGACCCGAGGGCGCGGTGTCTAGCTGGTTGCTTTGTTTTGTACTCACCCTGCATTCCTTGGGATGCACAAATAGCGCGAAAGCTTAGGTACGAGAAACTTGGGCCTGGGAAGCGCCCGTGCCGTCAAGATTTTTGCAGTGTGGACTGGAAGAGAACAATGACGGGTAAGGGACTTCCGGAAGTTTGAATAAAAAAAGAAAAATACTATACAAAAACGCGGGCGTAGCTCATCGAAATCAGAACTGGTGGCCCTTGGCCTCCGAAATGGCCCGCCGCGCGCCAGTAGGCAATCGCGGAAGCCTACATTAGCGCTAATAATAATAATAATATAATAATAATATTATTTAATATTATTATTATTATTATTATTAATATTATTAATATTATTATTATTATTATAATTAATATTATTATTATTATTATTATATAATAATAATAATAATAATAATAATAATAATAATAACAAACATTATCACGGGCATAATGAGGGGCGCGGAAATATATTTGCCCTGGGCGCCGTCCTATCTAGTTACGCCACTGGGTCTGAGCCCGTGGCTTGAAAGGCGAACCCAACCCTGGCGCGTTCTTGGCCCACCAGTAAATGCATCGGACGACCTGGGTGGCCTTGGTTCGCGCGGTTTTCTTCCAGATCATCCGAAGGCTGTGCGAGACGATGTAACGACGGCGGCAACATTCGAAAACGGCGCCCCTTGCGATGACACCGCCTTCTGTTTCAGTGCCGCCATCTCAAGGGAGGCGGCGCCGAGCGGTCGTCCGGCGTCGATCGAGGAGGAGGGGAGCAGCAGCGAGCGGGTCTCGCTCCCGCTGCTGGTGTCAGTCGCCCTGGATATGCGCAGGGACGCGGTCGTGCAGGGCCTGGCCACCATGCTCCTGCTCTCCGGCATGCTCTCGCTCGTGCTCTGCTCGGCGCTGGCCGGCCTACAGCATCGGCAAGCGGTGCAGCGTGAACGCCGGCACGACACCGCCTGCATCTACAAGGTGAGCGCACAACCGTCCAACTCCCTATTAATACACCACTTGGGCTATTCCACGTTATTCGTGCAGTGTTTGTAGAATGCTAAAGTAGTGGGCTCGCTCAGTGCGTGCCTCACTTGTCGTCTGCTCGAGTCGTCGGACAGCGGTGCGACGGTCGCCGTCGTTGCCATTCAACAGAAACCGTCGAGCAAAATGTTCTCTTGACGTGCACTGACACGAGCGCTGTACCAAAATCAACGTTACTTTTCTGTCATAGAAACAGTAACGTTCGTTTCGGTTTCCAATAGGAGGTGAATCGATGCGCATTAGAGTCCCTCTCATGAATACACCCTTTGCAAAAAAAAAAAAAAAAGTGTAAGTGAGCAATAAGTCTTTGAGGAAAGGTACTTATTGAGCTATCGTTTTTTTTTTTTTTTTGAACTTCTCAAAGAACGACAATTAAAAAACATTGTGGGAGCATTTATCGCTTCTTCTTCGTATTTTATCCTCGTTATAAACACGTGACAGTTTGTGACACAAACGGGATATAAACGATCGTAGACGGGAACCGCCGGGTGGAGAACGGACAATAATGTCAGGTGAGCAATCGGAGTTATGCCGTACTAACAGTTGGAACGCGAGGTTTAGAAGCGAGCGTGTCAGCCTGAAGAAATTTATACGGTCCTCCTCTTGTATATGTTTAAACGAATAGCTTCGCTTTCCCGCGCGCTTGCTTCTTTTACCATCTCTCAGCGACATCTGTCAGCAGTCCAGGAGTTTCTTTGCAACAGGGTCGCACACCACACGGACCTTGTGTAGTGTGCGTCCCTTCCATGTTCATGACCGTGATTGTCTATCTGCTTTCTATTTATTTCCACTTTTGATAACGCCCTTAACGATAGTCCGCTTTGCGGAAACTGGCTCATCGCAAGCAACTGCTCAACGAGCAGGTAAGTGCCGCTTTCTTTGAGTTTAGTATTATACGACATTGAAATGGGGCCATCGCGCCGTTTCAGTGTCGTATAATAAATAAATAAAAAAAAAGACGCGAGGCCGCGGATGCACCACTCCGGCGATGCGTGTTGTGAAAGAAAATTAGCGGTAATCAGCTGATTTGTGATTAAGGCAGTGCCCTTTGCGTTTAAAGAGCTCCTTTCTTGTTGGTAAGCTGAGTGAAAGTGCATCGAATTGAAGAAGAGGGAGCTGAAAATACGGAGTCGCACTCTTGGAGCTTCTTTTAAATGGCGCGCAACGCAAATGTCTTCTTTTGTACGTGTGTATTGAAGCCACGGATGTTTTCTTTCCGGGCAGTCGAAATGGAGATAGGAGCGATGACGAGATGATGACCTCGGCTGTGGTACACATTCCCTGGGACGTTTCCGTTACAAGGACCGTATTGACAATTAAGGTCCCACTATATGAACCTGTTCGCAACAAGAAATCGCAGAATCTTGAAGTTTTACTTATTTTTAGCAAACGCGTTTGGCCCAAGGGTGAACGTACCAGCCAGCTAAAAGGCTGATGAAATCCGAGCTGTACTGGCATGGTAGAAAGCCATAGAGAAAAAAATGGCTCTCAAATTACGTCATCTTCACATAGTAAACTCAAAGACAATTGTTGATCTCGCATTTAGACATAAAACTCTTAGGTGCCCCCCTTATATTCGTGTGAATGCTAGTATCCTGATTTCAGCGAAGTTAATTGTGTTCTATCTGTGCCTTACACCACGAGTACAACGGCTTAATTGCTCTTGTACAGCGCGTCCGAGAAAAGCGAAAATCGTTTATGAAAAAAGAAAAAAAAAAGGCCATGTCTTGACTTCTTCTAGAAGATGCAGTCATTCAACGGAGATTTTACTGCCGCCCATTCGACAGAAAACACTTGCTGCATCAAAGAGTAAATTGTCTCTTTGTCTGCACGATTGCGAATAATAAAGAAAATTAACAAAAGAAGTAGCCACAGATGAAATTCGCACCTCCGCACCACTAAGCCCTGCTGCTGGTGCCACTTTGTAAACAAGTGCACTAGACACGCCGCCGCAATTTTTCTCCCGCGATAATTTACGTATTTTAATGTATATTCATAGCCAACGAAACGGTTGTATTGCACCACTTTTGCAATAGGCGACAGAGATCAGTAGTTTCTGTACGCGTGGTTGGGTTCTGCCTATACTCGCGAACCATTGGCACATGACAGCAGTGGCTCCGGCGACGGTACGGAGTCTTCGTCGTCTCAATTTTAATCGCTCGGGTCTACATTAGCACGCAATACAGAAAGGCGTGGCCGGAAACGCAGTTTCGCGGCCGATGGAGTCCATAGACAACCGCGACGCAGTGAACATTTCGAAGCGAGTTACAGCATCGAAGCAAAGTTCGCCACGCAAACTGCCAACAACGCGAATAGCTGAGCGAGCGCGACGAGCTGCAACGGGGCACATCGCAGTCGCAAGCAGCGAGAACCGCTGATTCTGCGATTAACGAGAACTCTGCCAATAAAACTCGGAGCTGTATACGGTCCCACTATGACCCGTTTGTCGTCTTATACGCGGCTCTGCGACCTCATAAACGCTGCTGCAACATTACACCCGGAAACATGACGCGGCAGCGCTAAACCGAACATCAAGTGTTGATCTCGCATATAGACATTAAAAGAAACTCTTAGATGCCCCCCCCCCCTTCTCCCCCCTCAGGTTTTTGTGAACGCGAGTACCCTGATTTTCGCGAAGTTAATCGTGCTCTGTTCTCGCCTTATGCCACGAGAACAACGTCCTCTTATACAGCGCGTTCGAGAAAAACGAAAATTGTTTATATAAAAAAAAGAGAAAGCCATTTCGTGGCTCATTCGAGAAGCTCCAGTTATTCGAAGGAGATTTTACTGCCGCTCGTTCGACACAAAACACTTGCTGCATCAAAGAGTAAACTAACGATCGCTTTGTCTGCACGAATGCGAATAATAAATAGAACACGCGGACGCTGCAAACAAGTGCTTGGAAGCAAACGGCTGCAAACAAATTGTGAATATTATGTTTCGTCTCTTGATTAAATAGCACGTTTCATGCGATTTCTTCTCCTGTCATTCGTGATGTCTTGTGTTGGCGTTCTAGAGAGCGCGAATGGGTGGATGTCTTTTCGAAACGTTTGGTCCAGAATATTTTCTGCAGCTAGGGCTAAGCTAGGCGCCCTTCTTGTAGTGCTGCTGCTGCATATATGTGAATAAATGATGTTCTGAATACATAAGGTTCATGTTCGATTCCGCACAGAGCCTTATAAATTCTAAAGGATTCTTTTTGTCATTGAATAAGCGATGCATACTAGTGGAATTCCACCCAGTCTCCCAATTTGGCGCGTATAGCATGCTCATTGTAAAATGGACCCCGGTTACTGCCATCACCGAGCTAAACGGTAAGGTAGAGCAAGCTTTTAGCTTGCACCCTGCGCGAAAATAAGACTAAATCGGAAATGAAGTTGCTGACTGTCGGACGGAGCAAGAAAGCAAAATATAAGTGTTCGGTAGTCCGGTGTTATATACCGAACTTGAATACATATGTGGCCCTCGCCGCGGTGGTCTGAGGTACTCGGCTGTTGACCCGCAGGTCGCGGGATCGAATACCGGCTGCGGTGGCTGCATTTTCGATGGAGGCGAAAATGCTGCAGGCCCGTGTGCTCAGATTTGGGTGCACGTTAAAGACTTTAACCCCAGGTGATCGAAATTTCCGGAGCCCTCCAGTACGGCGTCTCTCGCAATAATCTGGTAGTTCTGGGACGTTAAACCACACATATCAATCAATCGATCAATCAATCAATCAACCAATCAATCAATCGAATGCATGTGTGGCATATATAGCGGGTGTGCTGTATTTGTGGTGTCATCGATGCTGAAAGGGCCGTCTGTGTTTTCAAGACCTTTCACGGTGAGAACGATGCCGAACGAATGGCCTGCGGCGGGGTGCCAACTCAGCAGATCGTATCACGTGGGAGTGGATCAATCAGTCTTTTACGCAGTAAATTTGTCTGGAAAGAGCAAGCGTATATACGGCGCATTGACCGCTCGGTCGTGATCCGTCTCACTGTCGCACCTGCTTATGCAGATTGTGTTTTTCAGAGCATAGCTGCACTTAATTACACTGCCGTGCTCTCTCTTTAGGAAGATTAGTTAATTGGTTCAATAATTGTACGCGCATGAGGCGATCAGTTTCGTGCGAAGTGCAAAGCATTTTGCGCGCTTACAGGCAAGTTTTCTGCGTGGCTAACCATATTGGGCCCCGTAATGTGCAGTTACGATGTCAGTTCCTGTAGCCGTTTTATCACTTCATGCACAGAGCCTGTGCGGGTGCAACTGCGCCGCCTTTTAGAAGTTTTTGTTTCTACTCTAGTGATCTTACATCGTTTTCAGATTATATGAGCCGCAATATTTTTTTGCAATTCGCAATAATTTCAATAACTTTTTTATCAAGACATACGCTGTGGATGAAATATTGTATGACAATTATATTGAGCGTGGCAGTAGCAAAAGAAATTAGTCATCGCTATAAAGCCTGGTCACGAACATCGGAGTTGGAGTAATGGAGCATATCTGTGTAGCATATATAGTTGCTTTAAACATGCGTGATATTGATCGAAAGCGTGACTCGGTTACGTATATACTGTAATAACACATACACGTCACCGAATCACGCTTTCGATCGCCGTCGCGGATTCTCGTGCTAATATAATGGTCTATAGGCAGATTCGTGGGCCTAACTAGACCCATGGTCAGTACCCGCGGCCTGATATTCAACCATATACAACTTCCGTGCACAGATGTTGCACTGCATAGACGCCTTTCAAAGTTTTTTTTTTTCCCAGCATGTTTGCAATTCCTTAACACTGGAAGCCACGACATTCCCACGCTTATCAAGAGTGGTATCTTGCCTTGACCGTGCTTCTATATTTATATACAGGAAATGCGGCATGCTGGAGTATGAAGGAATCACGTACCACTGCTGCTACACTCTACTGGTAGATTCCGCGGTTTTACGTGTCAGA